CTTTAAAAAATCAATCTCGGAGCATTGATTGTGACTTACTTTCATGTAATAAAACTGACCGTGAAATCACCTCACTCAAGCTTCTTGATTTTACCTACCGAGAGAACATGTATGTCGTAACTGACTTCTTAGACAGGCAGGGATATGAAACGGATGGTGAATCAATCAATTTGATATTTTGTAGATATTGAAATGATCGTTATAAAATAAAACTGTAAAGCTCAATACGCTTTTTTAAAACAAGCTATAATACTGATGATTTCACCAATTTCCAGCATTTACATTAGAGGGACTATGACGTAGTCAGTTGAGTCATGTGACACGTGTCCTGTCTCTGTCCACGTGACTGCTTACAACTGACTACGAGACACCCTACTGCAAAACAATAATCAGTTTTCGAAGGTCTTTGAAAAGCATTAAATGTTTTTTTTTCTAATAAATTCCTTTATTTTCACGAGGTAGTCAATTTCATTTGTTATTGAGTTTTTATCTATTAATAGCCATTCTCTGTAACCACTTAAACTTCGTTGCGACGCATGGTCACCGATTTTGATGAAACTTCACCCATGCTTAGTACTTGACACCAGAAACAAATATCAAACAAAATTCCGTTGCTATGTGGCTCGGTTGCCATGGCAACGGCCGGAAAAGTTGGAAAAATCGAGATTTTCAGCCACTTTAAATCTTGACTGTAGCTTAATAAAAACTAGAAAAAGCAAACAAACCATTCTCTTAAAAACATGACACCTTGATGTCACTTACACTGTAAAGAATCTGTGTAGAATATATTTCTAAGTAAGTGGTAACCAAGAGTACATTTGGAATACATTTAAAATGCTGAAATATGCTGAAAAACACTCCGTATTCACTAATGGTAGGTGTTACATGCTCAAACTCAATTTTAAGAAAAACAATGAAAATGTTTGACCTTAAGTATATAAGCATAAGCAATATTATTCTATAAATAACTTTTTTGGTTGCCATGGTAACACTGTGTAACCATGCAAAACCAGTTACTAAGATTGGGTTAATGCTACTGTCTTGAGGAAAAACATGAAAATTCAAGACTGGCAAATATGCATCCTTAGGACCTTGCAACACCAAAACCATAAGAAAAATTGGGTATAATTGCTACTTTGCAGTGTAACCATGGAAACAAAGTACCAGTGCTTAAAAGTGAATTATGTTTTGCTGCATTAAGAATTATGTTGCCATTTAATCAAGAAACATATTATATGACTCACCTTGAATAGTACTTATCTGTTAGAACCGAAGTTGAATATCATATATTGATTAAACTTGACGAAGAAAACAACACTGTTGCTATGGTTACCAAGAAGGGAAAATGTTCGATTTTGTGAACTTTATATCAATATTTAACCCTGTGAGTCAGCTTCTTGCATCCAGTTAGAGATTGGATGATAGTCAAAATTAAAAGTCAGGTTAGCCGTTAATAAATATCAATCATAAAAGTTTTGGGAATCTACATTTGAGATTACGTATCCAAGGAAACAAAATATTTTTCAGATTTTTTAAGCATATTTTTTCTGCTTATTTCCATAGCAACGCTCTATTTAAAAAATCCGATCTGATTTTTTTAAATGGAAAAATAAGGACCACACCAACATCTTTAAAAATTGATCATTAGTTATGAGGAAATGTGCTTTCTTAAAAGATAGGATCAGATTTAAACATACAGAGTGTAAATTTGAAGGCTCTCTGTTGTATATAACCCTTGGCAACCATTGCCAACCAAAATGAAATATCATAATTTGTTCTTGGTATATGTTTCAGGGCTCTTTTCTCTATTATTTGGTCACATTTTATCCTATAATAGCTTTTTATTTTTACGTGTATGACTTTATAAAATTCAATGAATAATTTTTTTACTTTTTAATACTTTGTTACCATAGTAACGTATGTAATATTTGATTTACCCAACCTTTTTATCATGCATTTGAGGCAACAGACATTCAACGTTTGGAAACAGTCATTGCCAATTGTTTGCTTTGCCGCAAATGTTAATTATGGGGCTCTAAACATGGAAAAAAATGTCATTTTTCAAACTTTTAGACATGTTGCCATGGTAACTATAACACATAGCAACCAATTTTTGCCTGATTTTAGTTAAGGGTATCAAAGACTTTTATCATAGAAAGTTTGGAGAAATTCTGAGACTATGCGTGCCACAGCTCCTACATAAAATTTCAAGTCATTACAGAGAATGGCTCTTAAAAGGCGATCTAGAAACGGGCGACACCTTAATTTCAGTAGTGTTGCGACATCATTAATATATTTTATCTCATTCTTGCATTTTTTAACTTAGTCAAATTGCCAAAATCATCACCTCATAAATAATATTATTTCATACTCAGTTTGTAAAATTAAATAATGAATCTGTAGTATTTAATGCCAAAGCTTGCTGAGGCCTTGTTGAGTGTTATAGAATACAATTACAGTATAGCTATTCCCAGAAACGAGGAAAAGACTATTCGATCTTTTGCATGATCAGTAATTGTAAAATACATGTCAATGTAAATTGTAACAATATGAACAATTCTGTGCATTTTAGAGGATGTTCAAGCTGTTGTGTTGCCTAGTTCTGCTTTCTATAGCTGTGGGTTATGTCCAGTCCTCCTTTGGCTTTGGAGGAGGAGGTTTTGGAGGAGGATATGGAGGGGGATACGGAGGAGGATACGGAGGTGGATACGGAGGTGGATACGGAGGTTATGGTTTGGGCGTGGGAGGTGGCCACGGTGGAGGATGGGGAGTAGGAAGCTATGGAGGAAAAGGAATACTTTCAGGAGTTCTCATCAAAGGAGCTGGAGGTTTCTACTACGGTGGAGGATAAAAGGTTTTTTCTTTAAAATCTTAAAAAACATTTTCACAGTCTAATTATACGAGGGTTGTCCCGTAAAATCGTGGACAAAGCGTTTTTTTCGAAAAGTAATGGGCGCACTAAGCTGAAAATTTCAGTAAATGTTTATTTATCATATTTAAGTGCATGTTAATTTTTTTGATAAAATATAGGCAAAAATAAAGATTTAATTATGCCTGAATGTGCACGAGGTATTGTCCTACGGCGCACGGTCAAAAAACCAAGGTTTTATTAAAGAATGCACAAGTTTGAATTCAAAATAAAAGTTTTAAATACATAAAATTTGGATTAAAATTATCCTAATTCAATTCCACAATCAATTCTGTAGTTTTTGTAAACATTTTAAGGCATTTGCTTAATTTTTGGCAGTTTCTCGAGAATTCGAAATGGGAAAGTGGTAAATACAACACACGAAAAATGGCGACGTTTTATGACGTTACGGCGCACCGGAGAACAGTTCAGTTTTATTTCGATGTTGTAATGACACCTTTAGAGAATTGAAATGACCATAGAAGAAAAAAGATTATAAAGATATCACCATATCTTTTGTATACAAATGAAATAAGAGTTCTCTTAGCGAAGTTTTTTTTTGATCGAGTCCCTGGGGAGTACAAAACATACGGACAAACTCCTAATGTAATAGCAAAAGACGCTGTCACAGTAGACCGCCGATATGAGATTTTCTATTAGTTGAAAGATGGTGAGAATATTGTCTGTAACTTACTAATAAATCTTCAGAAGATCGCATGAGGGTGCCAAATGGTTCTTCGACTGTTTATGGAGACTAAAGAATGTGTATCAATGAAATTCCTAAATTTGAGTCGGACTCATCCAACTTCATTTTCAGCAAAGATAAAACGTGACGCTGTTTACACTTTGACGTAATAATCCATGCGCCGTAAGGTGATACAATATATGGCATAAAATCTCATAATTTGTTTATTTATGCATATGTTCATCTGAAGTTTGCTGTGTATATTACTAAAATATGTACTAAATAATAGTGCAAATTTCAGAACGCAGGGATGTTTATTTTTCACACTAGACAACTTGTCCACGATTTTACGGGACAACCCTCGTATATAATTTACGTTATTTTTCATTTTATTTTTACAATTTTACTAGTGAAGATTTGTCAATCTGGATGCGGTATTTAAGATTATTCTTTTTCATTTATTTTCAGGATTTTAAATGAAAAGTTGGCTGATTTCGTCAAATTAGCATTCTGCTATTGATCAAATAAATTACAAATAACTAACAGATTCTTTTTTTGTTATTTTACCAAGCTTTATTTGTCTAATAGCCTCCAGCTTGTGCTCTTTAAATATATGTCAAACCCTGCCTAATATTTAGGCATAGTACATGCATAATGCAACACTATCGTTATTTCTATGCTGACATTCGTAATTATTTATACAGCGATTGGACTAATTACTATTTCCTGAAAAGTTTTATTTATTAAATAAGTAATCAACAATAATTACACCAAAAACGTCAAGAAAGAGTCACATTACATGTTCCAAATGATAATGATTGTTGATGGTAACGCTACATCCTGAAAACATGAATTTTGGCTGTGGACCCCCAGAAGCCATTGTTTGTGTAGCCTCAAGAGCTATTGCGATGTTCATCCTTTCTTCATCGGTCAATTTGCTGGATGTACATTTTATAATACTGCTAATAGAGGTTAAATTTAATGTATGAAATAAAGAACAAGGTTCACTTTTGCCTTTTTTGGCCCTATGAATTTAATTTTTTAAAAACTTAAACTGCTTAGTTTTAGTTGACGATGCATTGAATAACACTTAAATCTTAGGTGATTGAGTATCTATCAAAAATGACGTTATTTGCTGGCTATTCAATGCACTATGACAGAACGAAATGCGTGAATTTTAACAAATTCTGAAATGGTCTACCAAATTGACCAATTTTTAGAGCAATTTTTCAATATTTAATACAGGGTACAACCTCTGATCTAACATATCAACAAGTAAGTGATAGAATTTTTTCTGGGGATTAAAATACTTGTCTTGTATTTTTTTTTAGATCACTGAGTGTGCTCATATTTTTTTCTTCAGCAAAAGTACTCAAATATATACCTGTTTTACTTAAATTTTAAGAATATTGGAATTTCATAAAGCCAGTTCTCCAAGACCTGGACTTTTTAGAGAAGATTTTTAATAGAAAATGAAACATCTAAGTATCTATTTTGTTTTATGCTTGAAATGGAAGATCAAGTTTTATTCAATCATTTGGTATTTCTACAGGGCCATTTTATGCAAAAAGTGAACTAAGCTCTTTAAAAACCATTTGTTCAAATTCTTTTTTTAGATTAATACTGATATTTTTATAGATCACACATCTGACATAACATTTCTTGGCTGGCCACTGGTTTCTCCTGTACACAAACTCAAAGCATTTGGCATAGCTTTCTTTTGGTTATCTACAAAACATTGAGGCATATTAAGGCACCAGGCAAACCATTAAATTAAAACATGTAACAGTTAATCAAATTGATAAGTACTAGTTATAAGTAATTTGTACTGTTCCTAAGGTGCTATAACAGTGACTAAACAGGGAGGATTCATTCCTATGACCATTAACAGTGGCTATGTACCTGGACTCAAAGCAGCAGTGGTTAAGCAGGATAATAATTGTAGATATCATACAATAGTTTGAATATTCTTTGGAGACAATCCTTCTGATTTGATACCGGTATATTCATCATGATTTGTCTAAGAGTGTTGACACTCAAGGGTTCTTTTCTGTACCACACTTCATCATCATATGAAAAATTATCTCTCGAACGGAGAAAAAGTCTGTCCATCCCATGCCGTGGTCTTATGCACAAATACTTTTCAAATGACTGTACCGAACATGACATAGAATCTGTGGCTTACATCCTTCCTCTAGTTCCTTCACTCTCATTCGTCACACCCTGGTGATTTTTTTATAATTCTAAGGTAATCTTTTTGACGTACAATTTTTCCCGTTAGAATTAATAATTTCAAAGTCAAGTTCACAAAGAGTCTACAGTTGTTTTTAGTATAGAACTAAATTGTTGCTTATCTTCATGGAGTTACCTTAACTACAAATACGGATAGTAAAGCCAATGTTTACTAGTCAAGACATTTAAAAGCACAGTTTCTAGGGACGTTAGTATCAGATTTATTAAAATAGTAGGTGTAATAGAATGTGGTGGTACGGTGTTTTGAAAGTTTGACGTATTTTAAACTTTAAAAAAATAATCAATCACAAGTAGTCGTTATTTTAATAGTAAACTCAATAAATGACTAAAAAATTAATCTTTGTATTGTTTAAGTAGTTAAGTTATTTTTAATAAGTCTTGCAATGTGGTTTTAGTATTAATTATCAGCAACTATCGACATAGTTATTTAAATCACTGTTGAAATCATTTTTTCAATACTATGGAAAACTTTATTTCAAATGTGAATATTATTTCAATAGGAGTTGTAACCTATGTTTGGTATTGAAATGAACTCTCATCAACTTTTCAACTAATTATTCCAATAGTGGTTGTATTTCAATAGTGGTTACATAATACATGTATGTATGTTATTGAAATGCACTCTCACCCACTACTGAAATAATTATTTCAATAGTGGTTGTATTTCAATAGTGGTTATTAACTATGTTTGTTACTGAAATGTACTCTCAACCACTATTGATATAATTATTTCAATAGTGGTTGTGCTTCAAAAGTGGTTATTACCTATGTTTGTTATTGAAATGCACTCTCAACCACTATTGATATAATAATTTCAATACTGGTTGTATTTTAATAGTGGTTACTAACTATGTTTGTTATTGAAATGCACTTTTAACCATTATTGATATAATTTTTTCAACAGTGGTCGTTATTTCAATAGTGGCTGCAACAATGGTCTTTTATATGTCCGTTTTAGCAATAATGTGAATGGGGCCAGCTCACTATATATTCGATCCCAGGCCTATAGGCATTGATAACGTCTACCCATTTGCTTGTTAAACTTTGCAACCAGTAAAATAAGTTGATTTGAGAGAGTTTTATAAAAAAAAACTGAATTCTAATTAATAGAAAATTTTTACACGTCCAGCTGGGTGTCAATAGATGCATGCAGATTTGTTTGCCAGTGACAAAATTCGTGCTTCTTGGAGGGTTGATTGATTGATTGATTGATTGGTGTTTAACGCCAAGTCGGCAATATTTCAGCCATATTTCGGCAGGAAAATATGTTAAATGATCAGTTTTGAGAGTTTTTTGGTTTCTCTGGCGGCCCCCAGTGAGCCTACTTTTTTCCGAAAACCGGAGAAACGATCTTTTGCGTGCCAAGGGGGTTGTTATCCTTGACACGGGGCACCGTTTAACGTCCCATCCGACGGACTTAAAAATTTAAAAATATTTAAACAGTTAAAAATAAAACATGTTTTAATCAACCAAATATACTGTATACAGGGTTATTTTTGCCCCGTCTTATTTTCGCCCTTTCAATCTTGCAAACAATTTTGCCCCGTTTTAAATTCGCCCAGTCATAGTTTTGTTTAAGAAATTATACTGTATTCTCTGAATTCGCCCCATTTTAAATTCGCCCAAATGAGGGTAGGGCGAAAGGGGCGAAAATAAAACGGGGGCGAAAATTTCCTTGTTTACAGTATTGCATTGTGTACCATTAAATTTTACTGTAAAAATCAGTTTCATGTAAATAATCTAAAATTGTATTAACATTAACTTTTGTAAACAGTTCTTCAAACACTGGAAAATCTTTTCTTACAGGGGCCATTAAAAAGTTTCCTTTAGGTAAGGGTGCAGGGAGGGTCTGAGAGGAGTGGCCCATCTCTTCTCTTTGTCAGAATTTTTAAAAATTACTTTTCATAAAAGTGCGCTTGGTTGACCTCCCTATCGTTGCTCCTTATACTACCTGGTACTCATGTATCGACATCGACATTAGAACTTGTGAAATC